ATATATATAAAAAATAAATAGTAATGTAATAAAATAATGTAAAAAGAGTAATATATTTGGATTATGAAAGAGAAACTCTAACAAGATACTATTTCGTAAAATAGTAATATATAATATATACTTACTATATAAATAAAATAAAATAAATTAAATATTATATAATTATAATATATATAAATTAAATTAAATTAATTAAATAATATATATTTACTATATAAATAGTATTATATAATATATAATATATATAAAAAATAAATAGTAATGTAATAAAATAATGTAAAAAGAGTAATATATTTGGATTATGAAAGAGAAACTCTAACAAGATACTATTTCGTAAAATAGTAATATATAATATATACTTACTATATAAATAAAATAAAATAAATTAAATATTATATAATTATAATATATATAAATTAAATTAAATTAATTAAATAATATATATTTACTATATAAATAGTAATATATAATATATAATATATATATATATATATATAAAAAATAAATAGTAATGTAATAAAATAATGTAAAAAGAGTAATATATTTGGATTATGAAAGAGAAACTCTAACAAGATACTATTTCGCAGGAGAAAGAAGAATTTTTCTGAATACAGAAGTTCAAAAATTAGATTTTTGCCAGAGGATCTCGTTTTCCTGACGACTGTGCGGCGATTATTAAAATACAGTTTACAGTGTACACAGTGTGTACAGCGTACAATGGTACAGTGTATAGCGTGTAGTGAGCAGGCAGAACGGGCACGTGCGTGGTCTGCGCAACGTACTTACGGACTTACGGACTCACAGACGCGCGGAGAGGGCTGGGCGCAGCCGCAGTGGCAGTCGTCGCTCGGATCTGAATCGGGTCGGATTGCTTGTTTCGCCGGATAGATTCGCGGCGAATGGGCAAGCGTCTTTCAGTCCATTCCGAACCGTACGCCGGGATGGTCTTGTTCCTGATTTTTCTATTTGACAGTTGCTCCTAATCGCTCTTCCTCCTGTGCGGTATTCTAGTCCGTGTTGTGCGCGGATTATCGATCGTTCCTTCTTGAATAATTGGCGAGGATTGTCAGTGCGGTTACCAATCGTCATGGATCGATCATCGAAGATAGTACTTCGGAAGATCATCATAGACATCGTATGCCTACTCGTTGGTAAGTGAAACCGTCTCTGTGCAGAAGCGTTGCGCACAGATGCGCGAGCGACTCGCGAATGTGTCTCGCGATTCTTAACAAGCAGAATATCGCGCTAACACGCGAAAGATTCCTTTGTATCCGCGGCAGTAGGGTACGATGAACGATGATTGCGTTATATCGAGCGGCTGTCAGATTGACAGTCGAGGCGTCGCACGCGGCTCGTCTGATGTGCCACTGAACTAACCTTTAAATTGGCAGGTGCTTCGTGCTACGAGAATCGGATTATGCTCCTTGTATCAGCGATGTCATTCCGCTCGTAAACTCTCATCTTCTTTAATTAGTTTGATCATGCTTTTTGTGACTAAGCCCCGCCGTTTCCATGAACGTGTTTCGATATGTCGCGCCTCTCCGTCTCTACGGACGCGTCTACTGTTTCGAAAGGAGTTTCTGTTGTGTAGCGACTTTTTAAATAGGAATGAAAACTTTAATATTTTTTTTATAGTAATCTAATTACTCGACAAGCAATTGTAGAGTGTACCATTGTTAAGAATTCTTTATGTTTCGCTTTTGATTGGTCTTATTTATGTTATAGTGCTGACACTGAATTAAAGTGTTATTAATTAGCCGAAAATGGTTTTATAGTGTTAGCTTCTACATTCGTCAGCTTCTCCTTTCATTTTTCATATATCGAAATGTTATTGTTCGCGAACAGGGGTCGATTGTATTTCGATGTAGCATTTCTGCATTTTAGACTCTACTATTTGAATTAACCTTTGTGTACTGTTTTTTTCTTAATTTTTTGACATTGTTACATTCAAGTTTTATGCAACTAAGTGGGATCAAAGTTGACGTTCGTGTGACAGAAATATTTTTCTATAATCCGATTATATCTGTGAAATGGTATTACTGAACTATTTCAATCGTGCATGGGATTTACTGTTGAGCCATATTGGCTTAAACGGAACACGCGGTTTAAAATACTGTTATGAACTGCGTTTAGTTGTTCAGCATATTTGTTATTTGTAATTTGTAATTTGTTGTTTGTAATAGTAATTCTAAACAAATATTTAAACGCGACATTTGTCATTTGCATCATCTTTAATTAAACACAGCATTCATCTGAAATAAAGATCACTGGGAAAAAGTAAAAATGATGGTTGAGTATACTCGAGTGCGCGGGAAAGTTGCATTCGAAATATTTTGTGGCTCGTTTCTTGTCGTTTCTACGAGTGAGCGCGCCTGAAGTTAAATGTTTCGATTAGGTTTGCAAAGCAAGTATAGGGTAAACGGTTAACATTCTTGTGTTCATAGGCGAATAATTAAATGGAAATTTGTATCGGCAGTTTTCGATAAACAGGTGAACATAGCAACACCATTTAGCACGATCGATTTAATCTGACAATGAGAAGTGGTGACACGGTTTCGTTAACGGACTATCTGGTACGCTGCAGTTGTTCGATGTTCTTTATATGTACTTCGCCTGAATCTGATTCGAGCAGAGGTTCGAAGAAGGAAATGTTCTTGCCTGTAATAGGATCGACGCGATCGACTGTGACATTAAGGGATGCATTCTAACACGCTCATCAATCTCGTTTAATACGTATTTGTATTATTGAATTTATATTATTAATGTCATCGGATATGCGTAACAAAATATTCACAATATTTATTATTAGACTACGAGTTTTATGTATCCACATGGTAAAAATCAATCAAATACGAAACAGTATAATGCTTTGAAAAATTTAAAAATACTGTTGTGTTGCTTTTAATTTATTAGGAGATATTACTCAAGATTTATTGTATCGGTATTTTTGTTATTAGCATTATTAACTTATAAGATATAATCATTATTGATTTTTAAGGTACAACAATATTACACATGTATAATACCAATCAAATTCAAATGAATGTTGCAAATGAATGCATTCTGGATGTTAGAGCATACATGTAGTTGTGATTATAATATTGCATTTATTTTTACTAGTCACTATTATATTTATTATTGGTGATATCTATAGTTTTCGTTAACGCTGCTATTTATCATAATTCCTTACACTTTCTATTAATCATGTAATAATTAGCAGTATACTTACATTTAATAATACATTAATAATTAGACCGATTAGTATTGGTACTTTGAGACAACTAATCCGTAGTTGTCACAAATTCAAATACTCCTTTGCGACGTAAATGGTTTTATAGTTTGAAAGCGACCAATCTATACAAACAAAAGAATAAAATTTTCTTTCTCTTGTGAAAGGTTTCAATCATTTCTTCTCTGTTCTGGTTTCGAAAGAAGTTGAAATTGCTTTGGACTACACGAAAAGGCTATCTTTAATTATCCGAAAGCGTGTCGTGTTTCCATCTCGATGGAATCGTAACGAATCCAGAAATAAATCGCTCGGATCGACTACTTTCTACAAGTAGATTATTATGCCTGAATTTCTCTAATTGGTTGTTCAGCATTTCTGTGATCTGATTTCGCTTCACGCGCTTTTGGTTGCAACCGAGACATGAACATATTTCATCGAATAGTTCATGCATTGAAATCAACAATTTCATTACAACAATTACATTAGAGTAAAAAATACGATCAAGTATGCGAAACTTGTCTATACTTAAGCTATATTATTATGTATTTCATTTTCTTTTGTTTCTCTATATTTTCTTAACATTATCAAACATTTGCTACTTTCATTAATAACTTTTTTACATTATTCTATTGTTAATACATTATAGAAATGAAAATATGAGCAACGTCTATAGATATTGTTTTATACATATGAGCGATATATTTGGAACGAATAGACTGTTATACAAAGATATATTTAATTCCCTAAAATTAAGAACGTTAGATGATAATTAAACTGCGGATTCTTATGCAAGATAAAAATTGTCTGCACTATTTGCAAGATACAGAAGCTACGTAGATACTTATATCGTTGCTTAATAAGTTCAACAAGTTGAAAATAATACAACAGTGTTTTTCCAGTACTTTAGCTGTTATTTTTACTGTTTTGTACACACTTCTCCATATAATTTTGTAAAAAGTGTAGCGTTATGAAAAACGTATTTCCGAAGTGAAATGTGATAAGAAAATTGACGAACTGAATGAGAGCAATGTAAAAATATAATGTTTTCAACTTTTTTATCCGACTCTATCATTTGGTCGAATCATTAAAAAGTCACATATTTTAAAAGGTGTCCGAATATTTTAGCGAGTGACAGTACGTTTAAGTTGTTGGTAGCTGATCTGAGAACATTCTAATCATCTCTGGAAGATTCTCATATATTCTCATTCTTAATAATTAAATATATATGTATTTAATTATTTATTATTATTTATTAATCTTACGAAAGATGTGCAATATTATATATATATTGTGCAATAAATATATATATATATATATATTTAATATTGCACATTTTTCGTAAGATTAATAAATAATAATAAATAATTAAATATATATATATTATATACATATAATAATAATTAAATACATATATATTTAATTATTAATATAATATATAAAAATGTATATATATTTAATAATTAATATAATATATAAAAAAAAATATATATATATAATTATTGAGAATGAGAATATATGAGAATCTTCCAGACTCCGCGACACCGATTACAATTTAACTAATTAGAGCACGAGTGAAAGAAATAAGTTACGGGACGAACGTTGGGAAGATGGGAAAATGGAAGAATTGGTCCGGAACTCGAGTCAACAATTTCTTAGAAGATTTTTTCAAACGGCGTAAGAAAACTGAAGAAAATCGGATTTTCCGCGATCGTGGGTAACAGGAACGAAACAATGGCGCTATACGCGACAGAGGAACGAGTTCGCGGGGAATCTGGAACTGAGGGCATAGATGAAAACCGATAACGTAAAATTCAGTATTATTCGCACGGAAAAGTAGGTCGAGGGCGTTTCTGCGTCGAAAGTTACACACAGGTGTCTATTTACCGTCCGTTCTCCGTTTATTTTCAAGTTCAACGCAGTCGGCCTGCGATCGCGTTTCTCTTTTTTCGCGTTATCGCCTGGAGACCTGTTTATCGCGAATACACATGTCGTCGCTGCTTTCCTGGTCCTGGTAAGCATTCGCAGATCGATCCATTTCTCCTTTTCTTTCCAATCAACCATACCGCGCGGAGCATAACTCTGCGGCTACAAGGGAAAACGTTGCAAGTCACAATTTCAAATTTCGGTTAGTGCATTAATTGAACTGCAGCACATAGGATTTACGTACAGTCGCCTTGGAAAGTATGTTAACGCCTTTTCAATCGGAATAACTTTTTGGAAATTGATTCAAAGGACTTGTATTTTTTTCAGATGTTTTCTATGAAATGATTATATAAAAAGTTTTTTTAGATCGCAATACATACATTGGAGAGAGTGATAGAAAAATTTAAAAATTACGTTCTTTCAACTTTTTTATGTGAGCCCATAACAAAACTGTAAAAGATGCATTTTTTAGATCTTGGTAACTTATATGCGTGTTGAAAATTTTATCGAAATACAGCCACTGAAAGATCTAAAAATTACCTGTTTTTACTTGAATTTCGTAAAAAACTGCGATTTTAGCGATCTTTAATTGCTTACAGCTCATGTCAAGATGAACCGATTTCGATGAAATTTTCAACATGCATATAAGTCACCGAGATCTACAAAATGCATGTTCTAAATCTTCGTCACAGGCTCAGATAAAAATGTTGAAAAGACGTGAGAATTTTATCCTTTTTGTCCTTCCAAGTAAAAGGCTGAATTTAGAAAGAACTATTTTAGTCATTGTACGATAAGCTAGTCCCTCAAACATCTCCAAAAATTCAAATCGTTTCGTTCAATTTGGAAAGTTGTTCCGTTTTAAAAGGTGTCCGAATATCAATGCAAGTCACTGTATATGTGAACACCTTTTAAGAAATTCTGCCACGTTCCATTTCACACTTGAGATCATTATGAAAATTCAACGCCCACGGGCCACTTCTCAGCCACTTGCGAGTCACA